TGTTTTATGAAAATGGGAAGATAATGCAAGGTCCATTAAGAAAAATATTTCATCTTTGGGTGAGACAGTGCTGGATTCAGAAGCATCACTTGGAGGTCAAAGTTAATATCTGTATCCTTCTCCAATGCTTTAGCGAGAGATGAGGTGGGTAGTACTGCAGAGATCAGTGAACAGAGAACTTTGAATAGGGGAAATGTTAGGCAAGAACAGAGAAGTATTAATATGAATAACCTTTCCTTGGGCAACATCACAATTTTCCAAATATTTCAGTTTCTCACCAATGATGTTGACAGTTACCAGACAGCTTCCTCAGCAGTAACCTGTCTTTCCATCTCTTTGTCCTCCATTAAGGAAAAATGCTTTCCAAGCAAACAATAAATGCCCTAGTGCAGTGGTTTTCACCCTGTGGTCCATGTGTCTAAGGGTCTGCAAAAGATGACTATGATCAATCAAAAGTATGCAAATATCCATACTTACAATTCAAAGGGGTCTGTCACTCCATTTGAAATTTCCAAAGGGGTCTGCACCTCCATTCAGAAATGTTTAGGGGTCTGCAAATGAAAAAAGGTTGAAAACCGCTGCTCTAGTGCATGTCACCATCTTCAAGGAGGCCCAGACCCAGGTGAAGGGCCCAGATGTTCATCCACAACATGGCAATGTTTAAACAGAGGAGGGCTTCTACAGATCAACCAACAACGAATGCTGATGAATATACCACAGAGTCCCTGACCACTAATGAGTCATAAAGTGTCCCATATACTAAAGAGTCCCCAAGTACTAATGAGTACTAAATAGACCCCAAGTACTCATGTCTCTCTTGGGCCAAGTTCCACTCTTTAAAACAATCCCCATTACTTTTTACACGTAAGACTGCAGAAGGCCTCTGAGGGGCTGTTAGAGTCTATTGTAGAGGAATAAAGCATGTGTCAAAAATACTTTTAATGCCCATTTAAAATGGCCTAAATGCAGTCTGGAGTTACACGATAAGCTGCAAGGTCTCTGTTGGGATAAATATTTTGTTTTTAAAATTGTCTCAACTCCCACACATTTTTATGAGAGATCATTCTTGGCTCTAACCTAAAGTTTTGCTAAGTGCATTAAAACAATGTTAAGGGCCTGGCTTTTGCTCCATAAAGACTTCTACTGCTTGTTACTTTTTTAATATTTTTTATTACCAGTACACATTGAATATATGATAGCACTGTGCATTTCCATAGCTCAAGGCACTTCATGAATGCTAATGATAACTGCCAGCTCATCTACAAGGTAAGTAATTATTATCCCCATTTCACAGATGTGGAAACTGCAGCACATAAAGCTGCGATCACTTGTTTGTAGGCACAGAGTAAGCTAGTGGCACAGCCTGGAAGGAGAGTTTCAGGTGCTATGCTGTGACTATAGCACCAGGTTTATTCCACATAAGAAAACATATTCTCAGTTCTCTGTAAGTTAAAATCACTCTCCTGCCCCACCTTGCACAAACTGAGTCATTACACCCATAACTAACTTTAATTAGCCATCTGTGTGAGCAATTACCTAAATGTCACATGATCTGGTATGCATCGCAGTGCCATGCTTTTTGTGTCGGTAATTATACAGCAAAAGGTTTTTTTTTTAAACTAAGCCCATAATTCAAAGATCCTGCCTGCATTGACAGTGGTTGGGGAATTCAGAGTTTGAGCAAAGATAGGCTATTTCTTAATGTCCTGCTTTGTTCCTAGGGTTATCAGGGATCTCCAAAGTGAATTAATGCCATGATGTTGTTTTGTTGTTCCCCTTGTGCATTGAGGAACATGTCTGCACTGCAGTATGCAAAGCCAGAATACAACATTTATGATATTTAAAGCTAAATCTGAATCCTGACTTGGAGGACTGCAGCGTTAAAAACAAAACTTAAATCCTTCGCATTGCAAAACCTATTAGCTGCCTTAACCATTTTTGCAGTCACTCCAGGTCACTCAGACTGGATCTTTTACCAGAGCCTGACAGCTCATTTGTTTAGCTTGGGCTAGATTTAAAGTTCTGATGAAGCCTAATCTTCTGACCTGTGTTTATTTTGGCTAGTGGCATCTTTTTGCACAGACGACTTCCTATCCTTCCTAATCTTTCCCGCAGGAAAGAAGCTGAGGGTTGTGAGTGGGGGAAGAAGGGAAAGGCAGCTAGACATGCAGTGAAACAGAAACAAGTACTGTGCATGTTGGTGAAGTGGGTCAAGTACAGACGATTTTCCTGTTAACGGGAGGCATTACAAAGAACATTAGCACCCCTGCTGTCATCCTTTGAGGTATGTCAAATTCATTACAGTTCTTCTAACATTTTCTCAATTCAAAAACAGAACTGTGACATCTTCAGAGGCTTTGAGAGCACTTAGGGCTAGAAAAGTCCTTACTTCTCACTCTGGTCAAACTTCCCATTAAATCAATAGGGGTTTTGCCTGTATAAATCCTTAAGGAATCTCTGGGGCTTTGACACAGGCTGGGGACAGACATTCAAAAAGCCTGAGCCTGAAATGATTCAATCTTTGCAGGTTAGTCTAACCTGGCTAGGCTAAACCACTTTGTACATCCCAGAAATATGGCACACGCCTGCAGTGGCTCAGGCTAGAAGCCAGGGGGCACTACAGCAGCCCTCCCTTCCCTTCAGCAGGGCTGAGCTGAGGGGGGCATGGCCAGGCCCCAGCAGGTATTGGGGAGGGGTGCCCCCCTTGATAACAGAACATTTATCAGCTATATTATCAGCATTTATCACCCCATCAGAAAACAAACAGCCTCTCATTAGTTCAAGCTCTTCTTAAACAAAGAAGGAACCAATGGAGGGTCATTACCAGCTGAGCTGTTGATTAGTTCCAAAAAGCCCTAAACCAACACTGCTGTCTGCCACAGCATGAACCGTAGCCAGCATGTGGTCTGCTAGCTAATGCTGAGGTGTCTGCGTAAGGCAGAGGGGACAAGGGGATCCTGCTTGGCAGGGAGTGGTGAGGGGAGGGGGAGAGCAGGAGGAAGCCAGACAGACGCTGCTGTGCCTGCAAGTCTCTGCCGGAGCTGCAGCCAGGGAGCAGAGGGGCAGGGCCAGCCCTGCTGTGAAGCAGAGAGCCCCACCCAGCCCAGAGAGCATGCTGGGATCCTGGGGGTGTCTGATTTAATTTAAACCAGCAAGGGGTCTGGGACAGACATTGCATAAACTGGTTTAATTTAAATCAGTTAAGTCTGATACTACATTCAACCAGGTTTATCTCTAACCGGTTTCAGCCATTTTGAAACTGGTTTATGTTCACTGAACATCTGTTCTGTTCCAGGTTTAAACCAGTTTCTGATCACTTAAACCAGTTTATGTGTAATGTCTGTCTCTAGCCTTAGGGTCTGATCCTGCCAGGGGTTAAGCATCCCAAGATTTTGACAATGCTAATGACAGCTGAAGTCTTTCAGCACCTCACACAGGTTCACTCCTTCAGTGTCTATCTCCTAGGAGCAGTTTAATATACAAGAAGGGTCATGTTTTCCAGAAGGAGGGAAGCCTGCTGCTTTTTTTGCCTCTGCAATTGCACTCACAATCCAGCTGCAGACCTGGGTGCTTGCATCCCAGCCTATCTGATGGTGGGTGGAAACAACTAGGTAGAAGTATGAGTATTCAGAAAGACACCCCCAATTCACTCTGTGGACCCAAAAATACCAGCATAAACTTTGCAGAGGTGACTTGTGCACATAATAATGGAGGACAAAGTTCAGCACTGTAAGAGCTTACTTCCTAAAAGAGACTTTAATTATGATGAACCAATCTAAAATTAAATCAAAAGAAGCATCTGAAACACAAGTGCTCTGCATAGCACAAATTTGCCACCCTTACAAAACACTACTACTCACATGTAAGAGAACCAGGGACCATTTTTAATTTTATTACCTTGATTTGCTGCAAGTTCTCTGAGAGAGAGAGAGAAAAAAATCTGGAATTGGTTCCAGTCTTTGCCTTTTACTTAAACATACAGTCCAATGCCAGATCTCCATGGAGAGACCTTACGTGGATACTTTGATGTAATTAGAATTTAAGCTGCACACAGGAAATACCTAACCTTCCCCTTTGAAATACTTGGCCTCGCCTTCAATTCATTTTACAAACCCTAAACAGTAGCCATGAGTTAAAAAAAAAAAAGAAGACAAGAGAAAAACTTTCAGAATATTTTCAAAGAGGAAAAGTGGCTGTTCTGCTGCGTTGGCTCTGCTTGGGCACGAAATGTGCGCAGAGGATAACTCTATCTCATTTTCTGCCTGAAGCCAGATGTGTGAACTACTAATCCTCTTTGTCAAAAATGTTCCTTTTATTGATATGGCAAACCCTGATGTGAGGTTTTACCACTGTGGAGAAATGCCATGCATTTTCATTGTCTTTGGCAATGCCTATGTGCTTTGCAAAATGTTTGCTTTACATTTAGAAGCAAGCTTCCCAATTCCCATAGAAAGAATTTAAGGCACATGACATAAAAGGCCATTTTCTGTTTATACTTATTGTCCTGTGTGTGACCCATTTCCACAAAGTGAAATAAAAAAGAATAGCTGAAAATGTCCCTTTATTTTTACTCCTACAAGAGAGCAATCACTTAAAACTGCTTCATGGTTAATAAGAATATGAAAAAACCCAGCTCTGAAGAGTAATATTGTGGGTAAATAACAACTTAATTTAAAACATTTTCCGAAACAGTCAACCTAGTCTGGTATATGTTTTAGCCCCTAGATTTCCAAGTAAACATTGTAGTGACAACATACCCATGCCACAAAAAGAGCACTGAGGATCATCTTGATGATACTTGGACAGAAGGGCCCTACTGCTAATCTTGGTGCTTTTCTCTGAATGGGACAAATGGGATAAAGGTCATTTATTGACAGCAAACAACATATGTAATTCAGCTTGAGAAAAAGATGTATGCATCCAGTCTGGGGACCTGGAGAAAAGGCTCACTGCTGCCCTAAGGGAGGCTGAGTTTGAGAATGATTTGTTTCCTGTGCTGGTGATGGCTCTGTATTGTTTTAGAAATGAAAATGAAGGCATGGTAGATTTACACCTTAGGGTGCTTCTCCATGCCATAGGGATTTAATTTGGTTTAGTTCTCCTTAAATTGAAATGATGGGTTTTTAAAAACACCGCTTCAACTTAAACCAAACTAAACCCCCACGGCGTGTACACAAGGGTGGGGGCCTGATCCTTACCTGCCTCTCTGGCGGGGGGGTGGGGGAGGCAGCTGCCAGCGGGCCAAGTGGTTCCTGAGCTGCAGGGGGGAGGGGGCAGTGCTTCCCTCCGTGGCAGCGGTGGTGCCCCTCAGGTGGCACCTGCCCACTGGCACCCAGCCCGGGCAGTCCCGGGGGGCACTGCAGCTGTGGAGGGAAGCACCAGGCCCCTGCGCAGCTCAGGCA